TGGCAAGCCATTTAATTAGAGCAGGTAGTTTTACTGCCCTCTAGTGGAAGAGAATGTAATTGTTCTGCCAGTTACTCACGCGAATCGCTTAAAGTACTAATCAGGCGGAAACAGATAATCTTCCACGACACACCTGATCATTTCTCACGGCAGCACAGTGGCCGGGAAACACTGCAGTAGGTTCCACGATAGTGTGTTCTTCATCAAACAGCTTACAATTAAGATGCAATCAATTCTGTTTCTTCAGAGTCTTTGAAACTTGCAGCAAGTACGTAAATCTAACCTTTAAAAAGAAGAACTGTGAGTTTGATTCATGCGGAAACCCAAATGCTTCTTGCTCTGCTCTCGAACAAACTGCTGAGGAGTGTAAACACGCTGGTTTCTGCGTTGACTGGAGAAGACTAACTAATGGAAGCTGTGGTATGTAGCATTGTTCTTAGCATTCACTTTCTACAACAAAGTCACCAAACCAGTAATAAAATAATGTCTTTGAGGAGTTTGCACATTTTTTTTATTCTGTGTCTATCTGACTTGACTGTAGTGGTTTTTGCTTCATTTTTTTTTCTTGAAATTGATGTTTCAGCTGTGCCATGTCCAGGCGGACTGGTTTACAGAGAATGTCATAACAAGCATGATGACTTCTGCTATGGAGGGTTTGAAGGCTTTACTTTTTCTAATGATACACTTATTTTTATTAACACCATACCTAATCCAGTGTTGGTTTGTAAGTTACTAAAAGTTTCACTTTTCCTATTGCTGTTTCGGTTTGGCTGCTCAGAGTGCCTCATCCAGGGACTTCCCTTGAAATGAACACTGGGGGTTGTTTCTGTCCCAGAAACCTGTTTAGAGCTGGAACTCATTCACACATATGTGTGGCTGACTGTGCCTGTGAGTAAAATGGTCTACAAGAGTGATAATGAGATGAGATGATTTTAGTTTAGGTATGTTTGAAGTGGAAATAAGTGATTTTTTTTTCCTTTACAGACTGCAAAGGACCAAGAGGAGAGCCTAAACTAGTGGGCACATTTTCCTCATAAAAAAAGAGACTACTTCTGACTCTAGATTAGATTTGAGATTCAAATGTATGTATGTACCCCTCTTCCAGCCCGGTGAGGTGTGGGTGTCCAACTGCAACCTGTGTACATGTAATAACCAGACTCGGACTGAGGAGTGTTTTCCAAAACCTCCTAAGCCAGTTCCTCTGTGCGGCCCCGGCGAAGTTTTGGTAACCACCTCGTGCTGTGGTGATCAGATGTGTGGTAAGAATGAGCATTTCATCATTTTTCACCATCATGTTTAAGTAGTTTCCATTTCATTCAATCCAGTTTATGCAATAGCTTTTTTAAAATTCTGGTATATGGAGTGAACAACATAAAATTATGTTGTGAAAAAAGATTGAACAAAGACGAACATGTTTAAATTTTTTTTATACACCTTTAGGATTCTTTCTTTGCCAAAAGCTCAAAATGCTCTCCACTAGTCTTGTGAGATGTTTCCATATATTGGCGAACAGTAAAGTCATGGGTAGGGATGGGTATCAAAACCCGGTTCTTGCTGAGAACCGGTTCCCACTGTTTCAATCCCTTGGAATTGTTT